TCTATTAAATGAAAATCTAAATTAAAATTTAGTATCTTTTGAGCTTTTTTCTTGTTTTTTTTTTGTCTTTACTTTTCTCTCTTGGATTTTATATCCTTCTTTAATTAATTTCCACTTCTTGCATTCTCTTCTTGACTACCTTTACCTTTTTCTTCTAGATCCATCTTAGTATTTGAGTCTATTAGATCAAAAATTTCTTTAGATATATAATAATGTATCTTGCATTTTGTCACTAGTCTATTGTTTTTTATGTTGGTTGTGTTACTATTTGCTAAGGCAGTTTCTTCTTCAATATTATTGCTCTAAGAGAATGAGGTATTGATATTTATTTCTATATCTTTTTTGGAAGTACAGATCTATTGTTATTGAGTTTGAGTTTGTGAAATGATGTACTCTATTTTTGCTAAGTTTTTTTTTATTAGGATTAAGGTTCTTTTTAGACTATTGAATTTCTTTTTTCCTTGTAAATGTCTTGTTATGATTCTGAGACTGACCTGTCTCTTTGTTAGAGCTTTTTTATTGTAGTTCAAATAAGTAGTTGTATTGTTGCTACAAAGTAACCTTCACTTATTCATTTTTTTTTATTGGTTTAAGTGTTCAGTAGTTGTGCCTGTTACATCACTGATATATAAAAAAAGTTCATATCACTATGATCCTTATACTCAAATAATAAATACAATATACAATGCATATAAAAATTAAAAGTTAATATATCTCTTTTTATTTTAATAATACAAATCTGATACAAAAATATATTATACTTAACAAACTTAATTTTTTTTTTAAAATTCTCTATCAGGCTAGTTATGTGTGCTTTATTAAACAATTATAAGCTGTACATATAGTATGAATCATTAAAGCTAAAACTTTAACTAGCACACTTGTCTCAGTAATTACTCTAAGTGCAACTTTGGGAGTGATTTTTTACTTTATTAAAAGTTCAGGTGAAGACCTTTCCAACTTTTAATATCATTGCCTGTAGGTCACTGCTGTAGATCACTTTTTGCAGTTTTGATTGAACTCAAAACCCAACTATTTTATTCTGAATCTAACCTCTTTTAATAAGATATCTGTAAGACCTTAATTTTCTAATCTTCTTTTTTCTATTAATGG